ACCAGTTTGTTTTTTTTGGTGGTGAGGGGTGAGACTCGTCAGCCAGAGGGGGCGCCGCTCAAGCACGCTCGCCACGGATGCGGCGGGCCAGCTGGATGTCCTTGGGCATGATGGTGACGCGCTTGGCGTGGATGGCGCACAGGTTGGTGTCCTCAAACAGGCCCACCAGGTAGGCCTCGGCGGCCTCCTGCAGCGCCAGCACGGCGCTGGACTGGAAGCGCAGGTCGGTCTTGAAGTCCTGGGCAATCTCACGGACCAGGCGCTGGAAGGGCAGCTTGCGGATCAGCAGCTCGGTGGACTTCTGGTACTTGCGGATCTCGCGCAGAGCGACGGTGCCGGGCCTGTAGCGATGGGGCTTCTTCACGCCGCCCGTGGCGGGGGCGGACTTGCGGGCAGCCTTGGTGGCCAGCTGCTTGCGGGGCGCCTTGCCGCCGGTGGACTTGCGGGCGGTCTGCTTGGTGCGGGCCATGGTGCTGGACTGGGTGGTTGGGAGGGTTGGGGAGGTGGGTGAACGGCCGGCGACGGGGCTCTTGTAGGTGGAGCCGGTATCTGGGCCAAGCACACAGCAGGCTCGTGCTTTGTTCGTTTGTGTTTCACAGGATGTCTGGAGCCCGGCCAGAGGGGGCACCGGTGTGGGGACCTGCATCGTCAGCGCCATTGTTGACTGGACAGATCCTTCCCCGTGTCGGGGGTTGAGCAGCTGCCCCTGGATCGGTTGCTGCCTAAGGCCTCGCGCTGCTGCTGACAGCTGCTATAAGACGGCCTTCCCAGCCTGTATGCTCACTCAACACACACCACTCCCCCCCCACAACCACCAACCACTAAGCAACCATGTCTGGACGCGGCAAGGGCGGCAAGGGCCTCGGCAAGGGCGGCGCCAAGCGCCACCGCAAGGTGCTGCGCGACAACATCCAGGGCATCACCAAGCCCGCCATCCGCCGCCTGGCCCGCCGTGGCGGCGTCAAGCGCATCAGCGGCCTGATCTACGAGGAGACCCGCGGCGTGCTCAAGGTGTTCCTTGAGAACGTGGTGCGCGACGCGGTGACCTACACCGAGCACGCCCGCCGCAAGACCGTCACCGCCTTTGACGTGGTGTACGCCCTCAAGCGCCAGGGCCGCACCCTGTATGGCTTCGGCGCGTAAGCGGCCCCAGCCCCCAGGCCTTCAAAAGCAACCCACAAAAACAACAAACTGGTGTTATTCAACACCACCCACCCACTCGGAAAAAGTCTTGCATGTTACAATGTCGGGAAGAGGGGTTACGGCTGGTAGGTGTGGGGGGCCTGGCTGCCTTCTGCTGCTGCCCTTTTTGCCTGCCTGCCTCAAGGTGGCATGGCCTGCCTCTGTGGGGTGCGCTCTGGGGTGGCGTGGTTGGGTGTGCCTCTTCCCCTCCCCAAGCCTGGCAGCAAGTGAGGCAGACCCACCCGAACAGGCACACACACACACAAGGCAGCCAGCGAGGCACAGCCAGGCGGACAGGGACCAGCAGGCAGTGGGTCGGGCGGTGCTCTTTGCTGCCTTGTTTGTGGCTGGCGCTGGGCAGTTTGCCTTTGTTCGGTGGTGCATGTCCCCCTGGCCTTCCTGCCCTCCTGCTGTGCCCTGGCTGGCTGAGTGTGCGCCCCCACACCCGCCAAGGCAGCCCTGCCCCACCAACACAGAGAGGCACAACACAAACGGCAAGGCAGCGAGCAGTTTCCAAGTGAGGAGGTGTTGAATAACACCAGTTGGTTTGTTTGCGAGGGAAGGGCAGCTCAGGCGCTTCAGGCCTCGGCCTTCTTGCCGCTCTTCTTGGGCAGCAGCACGGAGTGGATGTTGGGCAGCACGCCGCCCTCGGCGATGGTCACGCCCGCCAGCAGCTTGCTCAGCTCCTCATCGTTGCGCACAGCCAGCTGGATGTGGCGGGGGATGATGCGGGTCTTCTTGTTGTCGCGGGCGGCGTTGCCAGCCAGCTCCAGCACCTCAGCCGCCAGGTACTCCAGCACGGCGGCCAGGTACGGGGGCGCCGGCACCGATGCGCTCGGCGTACCGCCCCTTCTTCAGGTAGCGGGCGATGCGGCCCACGGGGAACTGCAGGCCCGCCTTGGAGCTCTTGCTCACGGCCTTCTTGCCGGAGGTCTTGCCCTTGCCGCGGCCAGACATGGTGGTTGGGTTGTGGGGTGTCGGGGGGTGAGGGGAGGCGGGAGAGTGGGTGAT